GAACCTTTGCCAACTTCTTTTTTTGGCTGGATTATTCCTTTGTTCAAAATTCCAGAATCCACCGTGTTAGATCGCGTGGGTCTAGACGCTACCGTGGTAGGGACAATATATAAAACATATTTTGTTGGTTCTTTTTTATTGCAAATATCAGGCTAATTAAATAATCATTTCACACAGCTTCTGGCATTCTTCAAAATGTCTTACAAACTTTTCGCGTTTTGTGGCTTGTTCTCTCTAATCGTACTTTCACCAATTAAGTTTTCTATCTATTATTCTAAACACGAAGACTTTCTCAATGATCCAGTGGAGACTCCCGTAGATCTTCCCGAACATTCTCTTCTTTTGGTGTCATATGTCTTATTTACTTGGGTATTCTCGTTGGCGACCTTTTACTTTACATTTTATAATTATCGGGAGTTTTCGAAAGTTCGTCATCGATATTACTGCAAATGGAAGAATTCAATCACCACGAAGACCGTGATGGTGACGGTCATTCCAAGAGAACTGCAAAAAGATGAGGCGCTTAAAGAGTTTTATGAGTCATTGAACTTGGGGCCAGTTAAAGAAGCGGTTGTATATAAGAATGTTAGGAAATTGAGGCATGCACTTGAGAAGAGGGAATATTACCTGAGGAAACTCGAGGAAGCTTACGCGGAATTTTTTGGCAATCCATGCTTTTACCCAGACTATGATCCTGATGAAGTGCATAGAGAATTCGAACAAAATAAAACCATTAATCTTTCCAGATTTCAGGCTAAACGTCGAAAAATAAAAACAGGTTTCCTTGGTATATTTGGTGAAGAGGTTGATAAAATAGAGTATTACACCAACCTTTTCAATCAATGCGATAAGATGGTGGAAAGAGGTAGACATGGTTCATACAATTCGGCATCAGTCGGGTTTGTGACTTTTGAAAGCATAACTAGTGCGGTAACTAGAAAGTTTATAAATTTCTTGTTCACAAGTCAAGTTGCAAGGTTTGATCGTTTGGTTATATATTTTCAGCAAATGGCCGCGCAAATCCTTATGCGTCCCGAACCCTATCATTGTAACACTGTACTTGCACCTGAACCTCGTGACGTGTAAGTAAGCAATAACTTTGAAAATAACGTTAAGCGATAAAACTGATAAAACATTTCTTCTATTTTTTAGTTATTGGCGTAATCTTACCATTCGCCAACGAGAAATGCTTTTTCGTAGCATAATAGTCAATGTTGCGACCGTGATCGTGGTCATCTTCTGGTCTGTCATATTTACGTTTATTAGCTCCATTTTGAGCTTGGAAGCATTGACCAAGACATTACCTTGGTTAGCAC